AGTGCGAAGGCGTAGGAAAGGGCAAAGGCGAGGAAGAAGGCGAGGGCGAAGAAGTGGTAGTAGACGAAGGAGATGACGAAGGCGAAGGATAAGCCGTTCTTGAAGGCTTTGAAGAGGGCAAAGGCGAGAGCAAAGTTGTTGACGAAGACGAAGGCGTAGGAAAGGTCGAAGAATATTGATAAAAACATTGCGAAGAACATTGCCAATGCAAAGGCGAGGGCGAGGGCGAGGGCGAGGGCGAGGGCGAGGGTGAGGGTGAGGGCAAGGGCGAATGTGAAGGAGAAAGCGAGTGCGAAAGCGTAGGAAAAGCAAATGTGAGGAAGAAGGCGAAGACGTGGTAGTGGGCGAAGGAGAAGAGGACGAAGGGCGAGGACGAAGGGCGAGGACGAAGGGCGAGGGCGAGGGCTAGCGAGCATGAATTGGAGTGTGGCAGGAGCGCCTCGGGGGGTAGATTGGACTGGCCATCAATCATCGAGTGGCCAGGCCTGGCGCTGGTAGGCCAGGCGAGAGGGCCGAGAGAATGCGTCTGTCCATCAGCGAGTTGTGTGCGTCTGCTGCGATAAATCGCGTTCCCACGAGAACTGGAGCCGGGTCTGAAAACTCAATTATCCGCCCAAATGGCCTCGTCGCGAGGCGATCTGTAATTGCCGCCCCGCTCCCCACCCCGCCACGCTCCTGCCCCTGCCCCTTTGCCCTTTACCGTCTTCCCTTTCTGCACCAGCCTCAACACACACACACACACACACACAAAGACGCAGAGGGGGTGCGAGCGGGACAGACGAACGGGATGAAGTTAAACGAAGACGGGCAGATGCAGTTGCGGCAACATCCGCCCCGCGCTTCCGCGCCTCAAGCTATGCTCGTCACTACGACTGGATTCAGTTGCCAGCACACACACCGACACGTCTGTCGTGACTGACTGGCGCACAAGTACACGCTTCAACTCGGTTCAAGGCTCTAACACCGGCTCCGGCTCCGGCCGAGGCGGCGGCTGCGGCTGCGGCTCAAACCGGCCAAGCCGACAGATGCGAGTTGGCCAAATTTGCTCCCATCATTATCGATCACACGTCCGTTGCTATGCTTACACGAGGTCTGTACTCTTCTTCTCTTATCGATTTGCAGGCTATCCACCGGCCTCTGACAGGTCGTGCCTCTTTGGCAGATGAAGCCGTCGAAGG